AAAGGAAAACTTGAAATCGCATCATATGACCCCTTTAAATTTCAATTAAATTCCCATACTGCTTTCTGAATGCTTACTTAACACAAGCTTTGAAAAATTAATAGCTCATTTGAAATGTGTATAAATTAGAAACTATATTTAAATTAAAATACAAATGCAGTGGCCACATTTATCAGCCTTAAATCTAACTCAGAAGAAACTAAAACCATTTCCACTTTTATACAAATTCAAACATTTACAGAAATCTCATTACTGTGCAGAGACTGAAGAAATTCAGATGAAATAGTTTCAATTCATAGCACTTAATTATCAAGCCGTTAACCATTTTAGGTAAAAAAATAATGAATGTACAACACGATAAAGGTAAAATCTCTCACATTTCCAGAGGCTAAAGATTACTCTCAAGCTTCTTAATTCATTATGTTTATTCACAGCAAAGCCATGGAGAAATGCAGGTAGACTTTAAACACAATCATTTACAATACACACATATTCAATGCAATTATAATTCAGTTCAAAGCAACCGTTCATTAAATAACACTATGTAAAAAAATAACAAATGTACTTAATAACCCTGTATCTGAATGTAGTTTGTTCCAAATATGAACAAAGTCTTCAATGAGAATTCCCAGTCATTTTGATAAGGAATAATTAGACCATAAATTTGACATAACATGCATTTATGCAAGTTCCATTCAGTTGTTCTTCTCATTATGTACTGGCCTCGTCACATTATGACATACAGTCACATTTAAAACACAAGCCCCTAAAATAGAGCTTGATGAACATAAATTAACCTGTTCTAGTTCCAGTGGACACGAACACTGATTTACACACCGTGAAGTGAGGGAAGAATATTCCTAAACAGTTGCACGAGCAGAAATTACAGTATGAGCTTGTGAATAAACGGCAAAAGAAGCGTCACGTCTGCAAACGGACTGAAATCTAGGAATTCTAACTTGTGCATCGTCTCCTTTCCAACAAGTGCATTAAAATAAAGCTTGAAATGCTGCATGTTTAATTAACGTTGAATTTTGCCACTGTAGCGTTCCTCTTCAGATTACACATCTGAATCTACAACCAAAGCTAAAGGATTCTTATAATGTCTTATTTAAAACAACTTGCAATTTGTCCTAAATAGACTTGAGTTCGTACCATCTAACGCCACACATGACACGGTTTCTGCTTTGTTTTTTATTATCTCAATGAACCTGAATAACTTCTGGTGCCTAATACTGTTCAAGTTATATCACTCCATTAAAGGCGTCACGGCATGAGAAATATAATGTTCCTCGATCTTTTGACATGTAAGAGGTCTTTGTACCTTTAAAACATCCTGCAAGTTTCACAGCTTAATCCTCATTAAAAACAAAGCGTTTAATCAAGCTCAAAAGCAAATCCATGTCACGACTCCTTTAAGGGAAACCAAGCAACAAGTCAGTTACTAGTTACTGTAAACTAATAGAGATTAACCCACCGGTGAAATACGCTGCAGGCCAACTCTTACTCGCATTGTAGGTCCTCACGCGTCGTTCGAATGTGAATGTGTAAGATTATTTTAGGGGTTTTGTCTCTGTTTGTGTGTATTTACAGCACACTTTCACTGGTTAGAGCTTCTAGCTTTTTCCTAGAACAGAAACAGAATAAATATGAGCGCACAGTGTTCCAGCACAGTGAACAGGTGTAGTTGTGAGTGAAATCACCTGTTGAACGCTGCTGTGATCGGGTCGATCTGTGCTGCAGATTTCACAGCCGGGTCTCGTAGACTTATTTATGAATGTACAGGAAGGACAGGACCAGCCTGACTAAAGAGAGAGAGATGAAAATCAAACTATTCGTTATATAATCCAACAATCTGCTTTCTATGTGGTTCGTGATTATGTGGATGCGGGCTACTTATTTACAAGCTGTCTGCATTTGCTATAGTGTCTAGAAATGGGAAATGTGAATGTATGTAATTATTACCTGCGTGTTACTTGATTTCAGTTTGGATCCAAGTTGCAACATCTCGAGGTTAATGATGTCACTGACGCTGGGTTTCTCTGGGCCACACCCACTGCTGCCTGCTGACCAATCAGAAACACGCACTGAAGCGAGCAGTGATAATGATGATGAAAACAGAAAGAGGAACTGGAACATTCACACACTACCGTTCAGAAGCTGGGGTCAATATATTTTGTTTTTGTTTAAAGAAATGTATTTTATTCCACAAGGCTGCATTAAATTGATCAAAGTGACAGTAAAGACGTTCATAATGTTACAAAGGATTTTGATTTCAAATAAATGCTGCTCTTTTGAATTTTTTATTCATCTGTGAATCCTGAAAAACAAAATATATCAGTTTCCACAAGAATATAACTGTTTCCAACACTGATAATAATCAGAAATGTTTCTCGAGCAGCAAATCATATTAGAATGATTTCTGAAGATCATGTGACACTGAAGACGCTG